TCTGTTTAGTCATTGCAAAAGGGGGTACGGAACACAGCATGACGCAGTACAAACGTCTCTGTAAAGGACCGTGCCAGTCGAAAGTGTATCAATTCGACGGATCTCTTTGAAGCGTCCGTTTTCATTGAAACGAGAACCTAGAAGCAGAAACCTTTTAACTTCTTTTGTACCTTAAGAATCCTACCTTCGGTGGTCCGCGTTGCGATAAGGTTCGAAACACCGGAGTTCTCTGTTTTAAACAACGAGAAAACGAAGGGACTCCCTCGGCCACTGGAATGGAAACCACGGAACACAATATACCGCCAAACAAACGACTTCACGCGTGGAATAGCCATCGAACGTGTATCGGATTTTAATCTACGCCCACTCGGATCGATTCGAGTCCGGGGCTGGCTTCGGTATCGATTCGGGCTAACCTCGCCGTGATAAATACACCGAGCGTCCCGTTGCAGAAGAAACATTTGAATGAAGAGATTAATGGAAAGGGTTCCTCGGCGTTACGACGAATAGCGAGATTAACGATGAAATCCTCCTTCTGTCCGGGACGAATGACGAGATAAATGATGGCTCCCTGGCCCCGGAGATCGAGATAACAGACCTCAAACTGTTCCAGTCGAGTTTCCATTTTCTTCTTCTCGCCCACGATTGCCTGGGAGGATCCTCGGGGTCGTTTGAATTTCAATAACAGACGCGAGATAAGACGTCGATCGCCGATCCGCGGCCGAGGAGATGTTAATCGCGAGGAAACGCGCCGCTTTACTTGTCCTTTCCGTGGGGGACCGTTGAATCTTTCATGCATCGCGATGGAGACACACGCGCTTTGATCCGAAGCACGCGGAATTATCAAACGGATATTGGCCGGGGAAAGTGAGTTTTTCGAAAACGCGCGTGGAATGGCGGCGAAGGGAGCCGCCGGTGCAGGCGCATCGCGTCGCGTCGCGTCGATGCGACTGGATCCGAGAAATCGCTCGGCATCTGTATGCATTATGCGACGCGGCGAAGGGACAGCGCGGCGGCAAAGGTGAGCGCATTGATATTCCAGGTACGTGGACGCGGCTCCGATCGTCGTAACTTAATTAACATTAACAACGAGACGGGCAGCATCTTTTTCCAGCGTTTTTTCCGCCGCCGATCCCGCGGACAGGGGAGAATGAAATCGCGGGCTCGGATCTCGCAAGAAACCCGCGGGCCCGGCGTCACGTAAATGGAAGCGTTTCCTCGTTAACCGTCCCCCGGGACTCTTACGCGTACGATTCGACCGCTATTGCACCTATGATCGCGATACGTTGTGCGCCCGAGCGTGTCGATACATATTTTAACTCCCTTGTCCCGCGATTCGTTAACCGTGCGCATCGCGATTGTCGGGCAGTTCGGATGAGAGTTCCATCGGGTATGTTACTTTTAACCGGTCGGATGCTATTTGTCGATTGTCTTTTTGTTTCGCGATGGAACTTAATCGTCGGTAATTTGTTCGCTATTAATGGCTTCGGTATTTAACAGAATGCGGAGCGTGTTCGTTGAATTGGACGCTATTCTCGGAGGAATTATACAAACGTTCTGTTAACGTTGCTAATGTGCGTAGAATTCGAATGATGGGATTCACAATGATTGTGCGATTTGAATGAAGAATGAGCGAAATATAGTGTTCGAAATGACGTCGATTCGGAATTTTTGCTAGAGGTTCGGGTCGATGTTATAAAGGGTTAACGCTGACCTCTACAACAGTCGATAACTACTATTGTTTGTACCGTTGACCTTATGCAGATCGATTGCCCGCAAACGAAACACAGTTACCTTCGAATCGAAATGCTAGAACTTATTAATTCAGTCAGTGCATTAATAGGGTACTGATTCAATAGTAGACTGTCATTACGTTCTGCTGCCACAGTAGAATCGATATCATATTGCATCTGAACGTCAATATTACTATTATATTGCACCTGTGTTCTGACTACTATTACTATTCACAGAAATAGACTGACATTTAATACTAATTAAAGTCACACATAAATACACAGCAATTTTATTCGATTCATTTCTTCTCGTAAATGGCGTATCTTATATTGAAATAAACTACCATAATATACAAAGTTTACTCCAATACTTTATAGCAGTACTATACACGGCACATGCCACAGTATAGCAAGCAGACAGTACATTGTAGTAAAACCATGACTGTCGTCTCAAGCTACACCTCAGTACAATAAATTGCAGTACTATACAATCATAATACATTACCACATTATAATAAGTATAACCAATTATACTATAACACGAATATACCTCTACGGCAACATCAAAATTAATTAAAACAAAGTTACAAAAAAAGAAGAGCACAAAACTCCCAATATTTAACTCCGTCACAAGAGCCAGAATGAAAGTGTTCATTATTTCGTTGACACGAGACATTGCTCCCCCCAGTACCAAACGCGGAGTCCGTTGACAGCGTACACAAAGAATCGGAATGGCGTTTAATTAAAAAACCAAACGCGGGAAGAAAAACAATAACGAGCAACCGAGAGTCAATATCCCGATCGAGGTGCGTCGGCGCAGCACCGTGTGAAAATATGATTGGCATACATGCATATGTAACGCATTACGCCTACTGTTACATCATCTGTGGCATGTGTTCTCAGCAGCATGCAGTGCTAGCAACCGTGGAACGAAGGTCACCAAGTAGCCGACGCGACAATGACCTTTCCTCCGAGCCTCTGCGTGTGCAGGGACTTTTACCACGGGACGATTTCGCTGATTGTTTACAACGCGACAACGAACGATCGTTCGGCACGGTAATCATTCAGAACGCGGAACGGAAGTCGGACAGAGTCATCGCGGAGAAGCGTCGCCGCACGATCAACGCGTTCGGCTTTATTCCACATTTTTCATTCATAAATGCACGCGACAAATTACATCATTACATTCTGATAATTCACCGAATAAATTTCCCTGTCCGACGACACAATGCAATTGAACGATCATTGTTCCTAATGCATCGCATAATAACGATTCCCCCGAACCGGCACACTGCATCACCGTTACATATTGATACGTTAAAATCGATACACTGAAACATGTATTCACGATCAATCGAAAACACGTAAATATCTTGCGTCGGTCGGATTTCACAAGAATAGGCACGTGCATCGAAAGCGAAACAGAACAGAAGGAAAATAATAAATGCTTCCAAGCGTATCGAGTGTATATACGTGACAAAATAGTTGCTATTAATAGAAAAACGGAAGAAAAGAAAAATGAAGAAGATACGAATATATAAGCATGGTTACGGTATCTCGTACCTTCGAGACCCTCGGCGGATACATTCGGTTAATGTGAGTTTAACGGAATGGCCAGGGATCGATTTCAGCACGAAAACGTCGCCCCAAACAAACGGTAGGACAGAGAGAGCATTAGGTGCCGGCAGCCGTGGACTCCTGCGCGTCTGGAACGCGTACGCGGACACACGGGCGTGTGGCTGGTATACTATGTGTTCGGCCGATGGATCGGTCGAGTCTCCCTACGGTCTGTATAATTCGCGTGGGTCACGGTATAAAGACGCGACTGGGCCGGTGAGATAAATCGCGCGGACGTCGGGACATCGCGACAACGCCTCGTCTCGCGTTGATAACCGGCCGCCGATGGGAATTATCGACCCCGGTTCGCCGACGGGGGTTTGTTTTGAACGTGCATCTTCGCGCACGGCCGTCGCCAATAACAACGATAAAACACCACCGGTTGGGTTATTCGACGGAGGACGACGATGGTGGCGACGATGGCGTCGCCGACGATACCCGGCTCGTCGACGAAACGAACGAACCAACGAACGAACGAACGAGCGAACCAACGAACGGACGGACGTGCGTACGGCTCAACCGCCGGGCAGCAGCCCCGCGCACACGTATACGTTATGTATGTACACCGAGAGAACAGAGAGAGAGAGAGATAACAGGTTGCTGCCGAAACACGAGAGAGGCCA